AAACATTAAGTATCTATATATCTATATAATTCTAAAGCCCACTCTTGCTATTGATCGCCATTTGGATTCCACGTAGGATTCCAGTAGGATATTGCTCGCCACGTAGGATACTGAAGCATACCTTGGTTGAATGACACATAGGATGTTGGTTTGATGAGATATTAAATTATCAGTAATACTAGGCTTACACCACCTTCTCACATCATAATGTGGCACTGCCACATCATCAAAAAGCCACGCAATTTCCCCCCAAATTATAAAAAAAATTTAAAAAAAAAAACCCAAAATTTCAGTTCCCCCTAAATCTAATCTCTCTCCCAAAATAAAATCATCTGAACTCTCTTCTTCTCCTAAATTAGAAATCTCTCTCAAAGTTGCCTTACAATCAATCTTCCACCACTGTCATGCACAGCTCCTTTTCCTAAAAAAAATTTCTCTCCAGTACACTTATCTTGATGAGCTGAGCCTCATTATTCCAGGACGAGCCAATAAGCTAAAGAAATCCTGAGAAGATATTCAGAGAAAGTTGAAAATGGAAATCCAAGAGAGTCATCACAGCTGGCACGAATCGTGGTCGGAGACAGACAGCAATCCTAGAAGCAATAGAGTCGGATACAGTGGACCTCTGAGCAGTCCGATAACATCCAATAGCAAGAAGACCCACTGTTACGGCAAGAAGACAACAATCATTCGTGACTCCTCGTCTTCCACCACCGTGGGCTGCAAGGATTTGTGGATATATGGCCAAGACCCATTGTTACGACTTGGAAAATAATTGCTTGTTATGCAGCATTTGAGGCTGCCCTTTAGCTCCTTCTACCTGGAAAAAAGGGTTGAGGGCCCAATATCTCCTGCTAGGAACCGACCTGTTTACAAGGTTTCTGTTACTTGATATCTTCTTCTCCAGAATGCCTTAATATATAGTTGTTCGCTGATAATGAAGAGACTGGTGATGTCACATACAAAGCAGAGTCACCCGACGAAGGGGCTTTTCTTGTTGCTGCTAGGGAGTTTGGTTTTGAGTTTTGTAAAAGAACTCAATCCAGTGTGTTTATCTATGAAATATATCATTCTTCAGGACAGCCAACTCAAAAGTGAGGATATAAATGAATAATTTTCCATGTGGAGCTTTTTTTCCAATTTTTTATTTCACTTGAATTTTTAGTGCTGTAGCATCTTAATTTCTTTTGGGAATCTTGCAGAGAGTACAAAATTCTCAATTTGTTGGATTTCACTAGCAAAAGAAAGCGGATGAGCGTAATTGTTCGTGATGAGGATGGGCAGATTATTCTCTTCTACAAAGGCGCTGACGGGTTATCCTCACAACCTTTTTTAGATTTGGCTTCCTGTTAGAGGCCTTGAATGTGTATATGACTTCCATCTACTGTTTGGGGGCTGTTACTGGTTTCATTTGAGTTTTATAAATGGCAAATGGTAGATATTAGCTATAATTTTTGAACTTTTGCAATCATCTCGTTGTATCCCACCATGCATGAGTTCTTTGCTTGGAATATGCAGCATTATTTTTTATCGGCTATCAAAGAATGGAAGAATGTATGAGGAAGTTACTACTAGGCACTTGAATGCATATGGAGAAGTTGGGTTGCATACATTGGCACTTGCTTATAGAAAGCTCGACGAGTCTGAGTATACATCTTGGAACCATGAGTTTCTAAAAGCAACTCAATATCAATTAGCGAATATCATCAAGTGCTATTGGTTTATACTTTTATTGTGTTTATTTTCAGGTTCGGCATATTCAATCCCACAATTGTTTATGATCATTTGGGAGAAATATTTTCAGCATTTATTTTTGGAAGCCTCATTTTTTGTGTTTTCTTATACATTAAAGTGAGGATTTAAATTTAAGCTTGCTGTAATACATTTGTGTGTGGTTTGTGTGGTTGGTGAGAGGGACTGGCGGTTGGGGGGTGTTTTTGGTGCTGGGGTGGTTGGCTTTGTGGGAGGAGGTGAGGGCTGCATTGAGGCAGCTGGCACTGGGGTCTTTGTGCGTTGCTATAGACTCATTTTCTCCCCTACTGCTATAATTTTTTTACTAGTAGGGGGTTGTTCTTGCTGCTTTTTTGCTGTTGGTTGTCCATTCTTGCTGCTGTGTTGTTGCTTGGATGTTGCTGCTGTGGTTTGTAGCGTGGGGCTATGGCTGATTCACTTCTACAATTGATTTTTTGCTGCTGTTTTATGGGCAGTTTTATGCTCCTGCTCCAGGTGTTTTTTGGGGTCTTGTGTTGTGGCTATTGCTGTTCTCTTCGCTGTGTAAAGACTTTTTTGGTTTTCCATCCCTAGATGGTTTCTTTTGGCTGTTTAAGGGGTGTAAAAGGTGTACATTCTGGCTCCTTTGCTTTCTTTTGTTAGGTGGCATCCCTTGCTTGTTTAGGGTCGTGCACAGAGTATAGGAAGATGGTTGAGAAATTGTAAAAACTTCCTTTTGTTTTCTTGTATTAAGCAGAGAATAAAAAATGTATCTTTGTTGATTGTACTATATTATGTTTTGTGGTTTGATACAAAAGCATTTAGTAACTTGTCATAAATTTATGCAGATTTTTTAACTCAAGACAGTAAGTGATCATTCATAAGAGAGTTATAGATGATTCAAAACAAGTGTTACAAACTTTAAATGATGCATTCATAATCTTTTATTTCCACCCTAATAAGACTTCAATTACTTGCTAGATTTTTTTGTCATGAAACTTAAAATAAAAAGTACATCTAAGAGAAAAATTCATCAATAATGAAATAGAACCTCAATGTTGCATTATAAAAACTTGTACACAACATACATTACAACATATATTATAAAAACGTGTACACAACATACATTACAACATATATTATAAAAACGTGTACACAACATACATTACAGCAGTAAGAAAATAAAGTGATGAGCTGGTTGTTTTTATCAGTATCAGTTCTCTCCTCCGATCAGTTGCAGCAAGCAAAAACCCAATCCAGCCACTAAAAACTTCAACAGTAGCTCATGAAAAGTGAAGGGAAACAGGCCAAACCAAGCTGCTGCCAGCAGCCATGGGACACATCACCCACTGTAGCAGAAAAAAAAAAAAAAAAAGCCAGCCTCCCAACAAGGATTACCCCAACTCATAGTGTTAAAATGACAATTTCATGATGAGGGTCCCTGAATATCTGAATCGTTAGCTTATCAACCACATTCCCCTGTAAAAACACAACATAAGAAGAGAAGACTCTGATATTAATATTAAGTTACACCAGGACACAACTCAAGAACCTTGTTTTATTTAGAATAATATAGTCTACAAACAACAACTATAACAAATTATATTGGGACTTAGAGAGAATGCTGAATAGAGTACTCAAAGTTATATATGAATGAAGGGTATTTGATTTAGCTACTTCTTGCTGAATGCTGCAGTAAGAAACAACAATATGCTTCTTCGGTTCCCTTGGAACAGGCAATCAATCTTCTTGCAGCAGAAATATATGCACTACAGACCAGAAAATAAACCCATGAAGGATTGCATCCGAATCTTCCTTTTACCAACAAAAAAGAAAAAAAAATTGTAAATATGTATTACTAAGTATCCTAAATCATTCCAAACTTATAGTTCTAATTCCCTTAAGAAGGCACACACTCGGGCTTAAAATCATATAAACAACGCCTAACCTTACAGGTGCAACGTTTTGGAACCCAGCAATTGGGAAATAATCACTTTACAGGTGCGGCACTGCTTTTCCAATTATGACCCTAGATTGGGACCTTGTTATAGCAAGTGATATTTTATTGTGTAAGTATTTGCTTTTTCTGCTTCTACATAACTATCATGTGTACTCTAGACAAAGCTTAAACTGATTTTCTTATCAATATAGTCCTGTGCCCATCAGATTCAAACTATTCTTTTGAATTCCTGAGTTTCATTGTTTAATTTCTCTCCTGAAAATGCATCAACGTGTTTCTTTTTTATGGCTGCTTGTAGATGTAAAACAATACCCAAACTTGATAAAAATCTCTTTCCTTTTTACTCAAATCTGACAAGCCAAAAAATAACAAAGCATACATTCTCACGAAGAATGAGCAGAATGATGGTAACATGCTAACTATTTCTTTTTTCTGATTTTATTTCCAAGAAATTAGAAACTGACTGATCATTGCGCTACTTCTTCCTAATTTTTAAAGGAAAATTGGAGAGAGATTTTAGTGTTTGTATTTTGGAGAAACTGAGATTTGATTTGGGATTTGTTTTAGGTACATTGAGAGTTGAAATTTTAGAGAAACTGAGATCGATTTGGGTTTGTTTTAGGTAAATTGAGAATTGAAATTTTGGGCTTTGAGAGAGATTTCTAATTTAAGGGATGAAGAGAGTTCGATTCATATGATTTAGTTTTGAGAGAGAGATTAGATTTAGGGGGAACTGAAATTTTGGGTTTTCTTTTTTAATTTTTTTTTTATAATTTCGGAGGAAATTGCGTGGGTTTTTGATGATGTGGCAGATGATATGGCAGTGCCATATCATAATGTGAGAAGGTGGTGTAAGCCTAGTATTACTGTTAAATTATTAATGCATTACATTGGTATTTTTGGTTTAATAAGATATTAACGTATTGTATTGGCATTCTAAAGATTACCACGTTAGATATGTGATATAACGAGATATCAATATACTCATTGGTATTCTAAAAGTTCACTTGAAGTTACCAAAAAGGATTTAATATTTAGTTTTAGGGTTTAGATTGAGCCTTTGGGTTGGTACTTATTTTGCTAAGTTAGAAGTTTTTCCCAAGCTTAATTATGTGTTTCAGATTCCTATTTTGGCTAACAATTTTTCTTTTTTAATGTTTATTAACTTTCTTGCTTTTTGACTATCTCTAAGAGTTTGATATTGTAGAAATTGTTTGAGTTCAATATTTATGGTATCTCAGTTATGATTTTCTTTTGTAAGACTCAAAAAGAGGGTTACTTCTTTTTGCAATGCATAGCTGATTCTTCGTATTCTGTGTTGTAAAGATGGCAATGCAGGCAGATTCTTCTGCCTTAAGTCCCGAAGTAGTTGGGAATGCCTTTGTGGAGCAATACTACAGTATTCTTTGTCAATCACCTGATAATGTTCACAGATTTTATCAGGAATCAAATATGCTAAGCCGGCCAGATCCTTCCGGTGCTATGAGAAGACCATCAAAGTAAGCTGACTGTAACAATATTTGTATATACTTACTGCTCTTTTAACTGGGTTCACACCATATCAACAAGTCAAACTAAGTCAAATTTCAAGTTAGGGCATAATTGAACCACACAGAAGCACATTGATGTTTGTCCGTATTTTTTTATTTTTATTTAATTTATAAGGCGGTTAATTTTTATTTTTTCTTTGTTTTGTTTATGTTAATTGATTTAATTAATTGGTGTTTTTCCTTTCTGGAGCAGGGCATAAATGACAAGATTTTGTCTATGGACTATCAGAATTTTAAGGTCCAGATATTTTCTGCTGATGCTCAAGGTTCGTATAATAAGGGATTGATTGTTTTAGTAACTGGTTGTTTGCTTGCAAAGGATAATTTGAGAAGGAAATTCACTCAATCATTTTTTCTAGCTCCACAAGACAAAGGATACTTTTTCTTAAATGATTTTTTCAGATATGTGGATGAAAATCATGAAATGGAAGACGAAGAAGAATCTAAAGGGGTTGTAAATAATAAAGCTGATGAAAGTGCTCCAACAGCTCCTTTGGCTGCTGATCCTGGTAGGTTTCTCTGTCCTAAGTTGCATTTTAATTTTTCGGTTGCTCGGTTTCAATTGTGGCATTGCTTTCTTTATTAATGTGTTTGAAAAAAAAAATTATCGTTCTGGTTTTGTCACAGAGCCAATTCATGCTCCCCATAACCATGCTGTGAATCACAATTCATCAACCCCTGCAAATGAGGCCACTGAAAACGGCAAAGAAGTCAGTCATCCATTGGACAACGGAAAAGTTTTGGTGGCTGAGAAAGTGGTTGTTCCAGAGCATCCAATCGTTTCAAGCCAGAATGATGCCCCTCCGGTCACAAAGACCCTTGCTTCTAAAACACAAGACGAAGTCCCCAAGAAATCTTTTGCGTCAGTGGTACGCTAATATATATAGGCATCTTACAAATATTATGATCATTTAACATTTTTAAATGTGTCTTTTCTTATTGATATTTTTCAGGTACAAGATTTGAAAAAGAGTAATCTCCATTTAATGTTGTTCTGAGGGTTCCACCTGTTAAACTTGTGGAACAATCACGGGTCATTGCAGCAGCAGCAGCTATAGAAACTGCTCCTAATAGCAACAGTTCCGTGGATGAAAACAATAATAATGCAGGTTTTTATTTCATTTCCTCTACATCAGTAGATTCTTATCTTGTGTGATTTGGGAATTATACATGTAAACAGTTATTTCTCTACTGCTTCTGTCTTAATGATTTTCATTGTACATGTAGCAGTTAAGGGTCACTCCATATTTGTTGGAAACTTGCTTGATACTGCAACAGTTGGACAACTTAAGGTGGTTTTTGAGCAATTTGGGCCTATTAAACCAGATGGCATTCAAGTTAGAAGTCAGAAGGTCTGTTTCAAACTTATTTTGAGCTCTTCTATATTTTTGACATGGTACTCATTAATATGTTGACATACTTCTTTCTACAGCAAACAGGGAACTGTTTCGGTTTTGTAGAATTTGAATCTACCAGTTCAGTGCAAAGTGTGCTCAAGGTACAGCCTTTTTCTTCCATTGGTTGTATCATATTTCCTGGTAGTTTGATATTTTTGCTGTCAATAGTTGGGTTCGCCAATCTCTTTCTGCCTTTAATTAACCTTAAGTTTATGGCGTGCAACCTCACATGGATTCCATCTTGCCCTTTGTAACTACTTGCTTGAAACTGGCTTATATTCTATAGTCTGGTTCTGTGATCTCCTAATGACTTTTATTAGTTGTGTGAAAACTAAAATTTGGGATATTTTAGGGCCATCTACCTTTATTAAAGAGTAAACTGAAAACTATTGTTTCTATTGCTTTCTGAGTTGAGAATGGTTTGTTTACTTTTTTAGGTGATAATTTCAGATACTTTAAAATCTTTATAAAAAAATTTCTTTGCAAGAGTTGCATCTTTTCAATGCTTGGTTGGATTTTTGTAGGTGCTTTAACCAAAATTTTGAATGTAATTACAAACATAAAATTGAGATGGAGAACATCTGTGGATAATAAGAACTCTGAGAACTTTAAAGATGTTCATAAAATGCTTGTGGACCATAATTTGCATAATGTAGCACATTCTTTTTTTCCCCCTTTTTTTTCTGGTAATCCTGAGCTGGATGTGAGGTTTGTCTTGAAATGAAAGTTTAGAAATGTTATGCATTTTTCTTTTCCTTCAATTTAATGACGTTGCTGCTGAGACAAAATTTGCTATATTACTAATATAAGAGGTCCTTTTCTGTGTATATTTATGTTATGTCAGTTATCCTTTTCATGAATTTGTGCTCTATGCACTAAGAATTTTTTGAAGAATGTTGTAAAGCTTCAACTGCTATAATATTATTAGCATCTCTGATTTTTGAAGTTCCTTGATGGTGCTTTGTTTAATATTGAATTACATTGCTGTCTCAGGCTTCTCCTATTTCAATTGGCAATCGAAGAGCTTCCATTGAAGTAAAGCGAGGTTAGTGGAAGTTCCAAAAATCCATCTTCGGCTCTGACAATCACACCTCTGTCGATTCACTCGCTCTCCATCTCACATGCCACTGCTCTATCACCTCCTCCATGCGACACCACAATCACCTCCAGATGCGTCACCGTCGTCCTACTTCCGGCACTTGCCAGTGACCTCTCGATTCTTCCACTCCGGTCTTTCAATTTAGCATATTGGTGGCGCAGCTAGAGTCTATAGTCGCCTCCGCATTGCAACAATCGCCTGACCCTCTCCTCTGAGTCGATCTCCCCTCCGATCTCATCTCCGCCATTGACAAAGAGCCCAAGGTTGGTCGATCTAAACGGTGTGTTTTCTTTCTGTACTCATTATTACTCCAAATGTGATTTTAACTGTTCCCATTTATGAATTATCGTTAATTAATTATAACATAAAGTCTCTTTCGTTAGGTGTGCTGGGAGAAATTTGCAAGGTACTTTGAGGTGGAGCTGAAGGAGGTGAAGCTAAGAGATGGATACAATGTAATGGACCCTCAAAAAGCAGTTTAAATGGTAGACAGAGAGCACTATTTCTTTATTCGATTCTGAATCTGCATATTTTGTCTGTTTATATAATCTTATCTACTAATTTTGAAGATTAAATAACAATGCAACTATTAGATTACTAATATAAACATAATAGCAAAACTTAAGAAAGAACTCTCATGCTCATATAATGAATTAATCTGAACTTTATGTAGGTCAATGTTAGAAAGCAAAACCTAGACCATGCTCACAGATAGCTAAATAAAACACAATAAGTTTCCTTATTTTATTGAATATGCCTTTTGGATGAGCTAATGGCTTGATATCCAATTAATCCAAATTTATTCTGATGTGTGTATAATTCGCAGAACAGAATGATGGAGGCCCAGATTGTTTCACGTACTGTCAAGTCTCATGGAGTTAGAGTTGCAAGGACACACATGCATGATTGGCTGATACTTTTGCTTCTTGTGGTGATAATTGCCATACTCTTGCTTATGCAACCATTTTACCGTTTTGTTGGGAAGGATATGATGATTGATCTTAGATACCCCTTGAAAAGTAATAGAGTACCCTTTTGGGCAGTTCTAGTAAGTTTCCTGCATGGTTGTGCCTACTTTTCTTAAAATAAACCCTATAGTTTTAAGAATTTAATATTTGATTAATGATGGCCTTTCCTTTCCCTGGGACTATTAGTTGTATGCAGGTGTCTTTCCTTGGTGACATTTCTCATTGTCTATTACCGTAGAAATGATGTATATGACCAGTTTTAGCCACTCCAAACTTTCTTAATGTTTATATAACACCTCAATATCTTATCCATGTTTTAGGAAAATGAATATATATTCCCTTATGAGTGTTTGTAGGAGTTTTGACATGGGTGGTCATGACTGTTGTATATGCCAAATTTTTTGATAGAAGTGCCCTACAACTCATAAATTATGCAACTTCTACTGTTCCGTCACTGCAGGTTGGCAATAAAGAAGACATATATAAGCCAACAAATCTTCAATGAATTGATATTTTCTCATGGTCTTACTGATGCTTCTGTGGAAGCTTTCCGAGATTGTGCTCTACAGGTAAGACTTTGTGGGTGGTTTGAGCATTGAAGTCCTGATTATAATTAAGCAGCTTTACTTTGTTTAGTTCTTGATGGAGGCTTTCCGTTATAAAGTAGCCGCGTTATGTTTGTAGGTTGGTTTTGTTGGGTGAATATCCTGGAGTGAAGGTTAGTTGGATGGATGTTATTGCTTCACAAGGGTCGTCTTGTTTACTCTCTGTTGATCTTTGTGGTTCTGATGTCACAGATACTGGGTTGGACCTCTTAAAAGATTGTACCAACATCCAAGCATTAACCTTTAACTATTGTAACAAAATTTCAGAACTTGGGCTGAAGCACATTAGTGGTGATCCTTTATATTTTTTCCTATTACACGCAGCTAGCTTATTGTAAATTGTTGTGTTATAATTTTATCTTTTTATTATGATGGCCATTTCCATTAATTATATATTCTTTGTTAATGAGGCTGGCGATGTTTTTCTGTTTCCTTGATTTCTGTATGTTTATAAACTTCATCCAATCATCAGCCATGCTGCTTAAGTTTAATGTATGGGAATTTATATTCGTAAATTTTCTAAAACAGTTATTTAAAAGCTCCTTCTCAGCGATGATTAATGCCCGAATAAAAAAAAAAGTACTTATGGTATGTGCATGTTTATGTACTGCAAAAAGAGTCTGTGATGTGATTAAATTGGTGGTCTGTTTCGACCCTACTGTAAAACTATATATAATTAAAAAATGATTTTATTAAAACAAACACGATATGATAGTTTGTAATTGGATCAGTTCGTAGATAGATATTGTTTGCTTGTTATAGGTCTTTCTTGCCAATTTGTGAATTATCATATTTAAGATTGTGAGAGAAGGTTGTAGATTAAGTTGTGAACGAAACATTACTTATTACATGTAATACCCCTCATACTTTTTATGTTTTTATAAATAAGAAAAGTGGTACTACTCTTCTGAAGTTTATATATAAAACCAAGTATACAATTAAGGTGACATTTCCCCTTAATTAATGAATTAACTTCGTATTTTCACTTTTCAATCATAGTGTGCCATGTTACTGTATATACTAAGCTTTCGTGTATATAAACTTTGTTAGAGTAGCATTATTTAAATAAAAAATTGTGAAACAAATAATAATAAATATGCATTAGAACAAGTTAAAAAAAAAATCAGTTTTAATTAATATATATATATAAAAAGGCATTAGTTAGATGTTGGATATATCTACTCATATATAATACTTCGATTCACTACTATTAAACTACTAATCAACCAAAGTCAACTTTGATCTATCCATAATATAACACCAAATTAAAAATATTAGTAAATTTTTTATATAGATACAAAAACTTATTACTATAAAAAATATTATAACTTTATAAAGATGTAGTTATAAAAATTGTTATTTTGATTTTTGATTTTATAATTTATGTTTTTAGTAATATATATTAATTTATAATTTATGTTTTAATAGTATATATTAAAACTTCATTTTATTGTTTTAATAATCATTATTGCTGCAATTAAAACAAAAAGAAACGGAAGAAAATAATCCGAACGGAAATACAAGAAACTCCGATCATAATCATTATAATCACCCACTGTCACTTGGACTCGTTCCTCTCCTCAATCTTGACCGGAAACCCACCTTTCATCTTGGCCGTCAAATGCGCCACAAACTCCGGCTCAACACCCTCCTCTATCACCGGCACCACCTTAAACCTCTTCAAAACCCCACTTACTACTCTCTTCATTTGCAAGAACGCCATCTCCTTCCCTAAACAAATCCTCGGTCCTGCCTGAAACACCGGATATGTATATGAATCCCTCCCCACAAAGCTCCACGTGTCCTCTTCTTCCCTCTTCAACCACCTCTCTGGCTTGAACTCGCTCCAGTCTTTTCCCCACAGCTTCTCCATTCTCCCCATCGCGTACGGATGATACGCCACTCGCATGCCCTTCTTCACAACCGTCCCGTCCGGCAATACGTCGTCCTTCTCAGCAAACTTGGAGTCTACCGGTACGGGTGGGTAGAATCTCATGCTCTCACAAAGTGATGCGTGCGTGTACACCATGTCTTTGATGTCTTCGTAAACTAGTGTGTCTGATTTTTCTTTGATTTCCTTGAGAATTTCCTTTTCAGCTTCAGGGTTTTTTGAGATGAGCAAGAAGAACCACGTCAAAGCCGCTGATGTGGTGTCTCGGCCGGCGAGTGTGAAGCTGATGATTATATCAGTAACAAAGTCATCGTCGTATTGGCCTGAACTCAAGAATCGTGACAAAAGATCCATAGACTCACCAGGGTCTAGTTTCTTTTCTTTTATGATGTTCTTTGAGAATTCTCGGACTTCAGAAGCTGCAAGTTTTAGACGCTTTTCGGAGCCAATATTGAGAAGCCGTTTAATTTTCCAGATTATTGGTAAAGTCGCTCGAACTCTTTCGCTGCTTATTTTAACACCCTCGTCAAAAGCTTGTGCGAATTTGGCTTCTGGAAAAGATGGCAATAGATATTCCGGATCGTACCCGAAAGCGATCTTGCATATATTATCAAAAGCAAATCTTTGAAGAACATCTTGAAAATCGAGCACTTGTTTATTGGCAGCCGCCGTTTCAAGAATGGGAATAAGGCGATCGGAGAGTTCAGTTTCGACTACAGTTTCGACAAATTTACGGAGGGATTTGGTATTGAATTCGTGGCTGGAAATTTGTCTTTGAAACTTCCATTCTTCGCCGTCAATATTGAAAATACCATGACCCAAAAAGTCGAAGAGAGTTGATCGAAGTCTGTCGCCTTTTGGGTAATTGTAGAAGTTAGTTTTGAGGATGTGTTGGACATTAGCGGGATTGGCTGTCAAGATAGTGACCTGGCCTCCTAACCTCTGCAAGGTAAATGTTGCAGAAGGAACATTTTGCAGAATAGAAGTTACCCACTGGAGTAACTGGTTTTGGTTGGCTAGAAGTGAGAAAAAAGAGCCCACTATTGGGTAGGACTTTGGAAGAATTACATTAGTGGAAGGATATGAAGATGATGAACTTTTAGGTTTGGAATTTCTGGTTCTGGTTATGAGAAAGAAGACGAGTGAAGTGAAAATTAAAAGGAGAAATGAAGTAAGAAGATGAAGCGACATGGGTGATAAAAGATTAAAAATTTGCGATGAATATGAGTTTGATTAGATTTGGATGTGAAGAAAAGGGAGTAAAGTGTTGGGTTTATGAATAGGGAGAAAGTAATTGGAGATTATAAGGTCTGGTGGGGTCTAAACTTGGATATTGAGAATTTGAAATGTGAAAACAAAAAAATCATATTCATATTGATGAAAAGGGAAAACTAAAAGTAAAATAAATTATACGAATTTTCAATTAATATGAAAAGGAATCTGGGTTTCCCTTCTTTTCTAAAATATATATGCAAGAAACGTATGCAAGATCGTCACTCCCCTGCCACGTGTCTTTTTAAATTTTCTATTTTGATAAGTCACCTAAAATTGTCTAAACTTTAATTGAATTCAATCCTTTGATAGTGGAGACTGGAGAGTGGACCAAGGAAAGTTTTAAAAGTTAATTGTATTGAATTACGTTTTGATAATTTATTCATTCATTCATTTCTTATAAAATTGAATCAATTTATTATTTGTATAGTGAAGCACCACGTCATTGATATGAAATATTTATTACTAATTTTTTTTTCTTTTTTGATATATGAAGGCTTTCAATTGGTAGATACTAGATAGCAAAGATAAAAATATCATTGTTGTAAAAACCGAATCGGAGGGTAATCCGCTCTGATGATCGGGTTACGATTCAACCGGTCTAACCGATTGGACCGCAGGTTAGATCGGTGATATCATCACACATCATGTTGATGTCAGCATATTTTTAAACAAACAATTTTTTTTTTTTAGATTTTTATTTTTCAATAAGACAATAACCACTTCTATATGAATTGACTCATGTTATTGTACAATGTCAATGAGGTCCGAATTTTAAAAAAATCAGGACATCTACAGGAGAGACTAATTTTAAGAATGAAACTGGAAACTGAGCAGATTCCCACATTAACTTATTTCCACTACTTGGGTGATTACCAAAGCCAATCAAATAGATTTCCACATCAAAGCCAATCAAATAATTTCCACATGAAATTTGAGTTCCTTTACGTGTAAGAAATGGGTAAGATAAAACTAATAAACTTATCAATTTGAGATGACGAAAATATAGGTTTTAAAGAAAGGAGAATAAGTATACAATAAATTGGTAGTTATCATCTGTTATGCCTGGGAACCTAAGGTTGACGTGGCGCCCGGTTAGGTGCGAAAGATCAGACCTCGGGAAGAGTCTACTGACGTTCTGGCGCAGCCGTGTCGTGTGATCATGGTTGCACCCAGAACCTGCTTCTGTCAGAGTAGCGAGTGCACGTAAGCCCAGCCAGGAGTTGTAATGATCCCGCGTGTCCAATCCCTACAGCAAATCACGTGAATTACTCTAAAAGAAGGATTTGCATGGATCATCCCACCAACTTACAAATTCAGTGATCATTACCTCAATGCATCCCACTATAAATGGAGAACTCCTCTCTCATTAAGGGGATTCGCACATATTTACTCTTGATCAGTCTATCTCTCTCTCTCTAGATAAGACAATATTAGATACCTTGTATTACATTGTAAAGTCAGTCAGCTAACGCGACCTGACCCTTATCATTAATACAAACCTCAGTGGATGTAGAATTTGCTACCTTAGCATCCGAACCACTTTAAAACCCCTTTCTCATTGCATTTACTATCTTTTTCTTTTACTTTCACGTGTGCTTTTTGGACCAGTTCAACATCTCACACGTGCGTTTCGTTGGTGTCAAAATCACGCATCAACATCATCAATGCTTGTAAAAAAATTTGGGTCTTTTGTTACTTTCGTAAACCTGTGGATGCGTTGTTACGTCTATCAACTGTTTGAGAATAATGTAGTAACTGCCCAAATTTTAACAGCTAACATCATGTGTGAAGGAAATTTATTCTAAGAAAAATAGTACTG